AAAAAAAAAAAAAATTAAATAACATAATCAAATAACATTTAAAATGAAATTGAGGGAGTATAATTCATGATCAGTTAACTCGGCCCCAACTTAAATCAGTGAGACCTTTTCACTTATATTTAACCATCTAAGGCGGAGGTTTGATATCTTGAATTGATTTCGTTTTTCTTTAATTAACTAAAAAAAAAAAAACTTTTATTTAGTGGGTTACAGGCAGTACCCAAAACGCACATACATCTATAATGACTCAATACATATGATTTTAAAGCCCTCCCCCAAAACATATCTCAAACAAATTAAAAAATAAAGGGAACTCATGATCTAGCCATTTCTTTCGCACATAAGGCTGGAAATTGACACTGCCCAGAATAATTGAAAGCTAGTCTCTGGTTCCTACTTTTAATCCACTCATATCTTGGATTGATGTATAGGTAATTTCACCTAAACTCCTTAATTAAGGAATAAATAAGATTTCATTAGTCCAATGCTCTACTAAAACACACACGGACACAATAGCAATGTCTTTGTATCCATTTGAGAAAAATTTTATTGTAATAAGGACACTATTCTACTAATAGAAACACAACATATTAGAGGTTCCTCTTGCAATGTGGCAAGTTTTTGTGTCACATCACTAATTTTTCTGTCATATTATACATTTTATACTGAAGAATCTTAAAATCCTTTAATGTGTTAAATTTCTATCTATTAGTGATACTGCTAACTTGTAGTGTCTCATTACTGAAGGGATTTTTCTTTTTTCCAATTATAGTTTCGTGTGAAAAAAGGGTTCAAATATTTTTTTTTTCCTAACCTCAACTGAAATGAAGGGTTTCAAATTTTTATAACAACTAAACTCTATTTTTTTTCACCAATAAGAAAAAAATAAAATAAAATATATCATTCTTTACATTATAGTCATCTCAACAGCTTCTACAAAACTTGTCCCCGTCATCTCCTCTGTTTCCCCTGTTTTCTAAGTGTGATTTACCTCTTCTGGGAGAGCTATCAATTTGTAGAACCTTCATCGTTTTGATTTTTTTTCTTTTTCTTTTTTTCTTTTTTTTGGTTTTATGCACTATCTAAATATAGCCAGGCCATTCATTACTGTTATCAAATGCTTCGGTCCTGTACATTTTCAAATCCAATAAAGAACTCCACCATGACGAACAATGATCAAGATGCTGCACGCGGGAGGAAGAACATAAAGTGCTTAGCGTACGTATTTGCTGGAGTCATTGCTCAGACCGCTATCATAGTGCTCTTCGTTATGCTAGTGATGCGTATCCGCAACCCCAAGGTCCGATTGGGTGCGGTCATTGTGGAGAGTCTCGGCACCAATGCCTCTGCAACCTCCCCTTCCTTCACCATCAAACTTAACGCACAAGTTACCGTCAAAAACACTAAATTTTGGTCACTTCAAGTTCCAGAACAACACCGCCAGCATCTCCTACGTAGGCACTCTCATCGGCGAGGCTACCATTGTGAAGGCACGCGCTAGAGCACGGTCTACAAAAAAGGTCAACGTGACATTCGTTGCGAGTTCAGGTAAGGTGTCAAGCAACTCACAGTTGGGTGATGATATCGAGTCTGGGATCATACCGTTGGGCAGCCATGCCAGGTTGGACGGGAAGATTATTCTGTTCAAGGTTTTCAAGAAAAAGAAATCAGCGGAAATGAATTGCATAATGGATGTTAATACAACTACGAAAGAGATTCAGAACTTGAAATGCAAGTGAACTTGCAATCACTATTTTAATTTCTCTTTATGTTCCGCTTTTATTCTCTTTTGGGTAGGAAATTTAACTGCTCAAATCTGTACTATTTTTCCCCTTCTTTACATTACATGATATTAGGTGGACAGGGAAAAATGTGGTCACCCTTTTTTCTTGTCCCGTGTAATATATATATATTTTTTTTTGTATGAAAAAATAAATTTCATTTCATGCATGAAATAAAATTGATAACAAAAGTAATATAGGAGAAACATTTTGGACGAACGGGGACTGAAGGCCTAAACAGCCTCAATCCAAATCCTTTCCCACTTCTAGATATCTGGTGCCTTTCTAGCTAAATCCTGTGACAGCATGTTCACTTCCCTTCTTACATACGAGAGAACAAATCTATCAGTTTCTTGTACCAGGCCATGGATCTCTGCAATTATAGCTCCCAAGAAATGAGCACTGTCCCCTCCGTTTCTCATCTCTCTGCCACGCTTGAGTTGAATTGCTTTGCAACACGAGTCTCTTAAAGCTGAAGTCCACAGCCAGTCGGACTACTTGCAGCATAGTTCTTTGTAGTAGTTTTTATTTCTTTTGTTGTGTTTCTGTAACTAACGTTGATATTACTTAGTACTAAAAAATATTTGATAGTAATTAATATGCTAATTCAATAACTTCGGTCTGATTAAATAGAAATAATGCGCAAATACAAAGGAATCAGTGGAGAATTACAAACAACTGTCATTAATGCACATTAATCTGACAATTAAAAGAAGTAATGCCAACCATTTCACAATTTTGATGCCATTGCATCGGCATTGTTAGCCTCCTAAAAACATGATGCATTTCGCAATGCCAATTCCTCTGCAAGTACTCTTTGCATTTCTAGATCTAATAATTAGAGGTGGGTCAAAAAGTCCACAATCGAAAAAAAAAAAAATTGAAAACCAAAGAAACCATAATTGATGGGTAGGGTATGACTGGGCTTTAAATTTTTTTTCACTAAAAACTGATTCAAACCAATTTTAAATGGTTTATGTTTTGGTTATTAAATCTAAAAATTAAAAAAACTATAACTAGGATGAGTATAACAAAAAAAAACTTGTCTACAAACCTTTTATATAAATTTTTAATGGTTTTAAGATTTTTTTAAGGTTTTCTAGCCACTTCTCATCAAATTATTTATTTATTTGAGTAATTTTGAGTTTTTTAGTAATTGAAATTAATAAAATAATAATTAAGAAATTCAAAAAAAAATAAAAATACAAAAAATAATTTTTTAGTTAATATCAAAACTAATCTGAATAGTTATTCTCAAAAAGTGTAATTGAAAATAATAAAACTCTTTTTTTTTAGCTTGGTTAATGATTATTAAAATTTTAAACCCAAAATTTTAATTAACCATGGTTCGATTTTAATTGTAACCAAAACCAAACCATGCCCACCCCTCTATATGGGCCAAATTGAGTAGGTCCTCGTTCAATCTTTGGAACTAGTAGTAGGGAATCTACTTCAATCACCACTTGGTTGTAGTTCCTATTCCAAGATATAGTTATAGTACTTTCAAAATAGCAGACAATTCTGCCCTTATTGAATGACCAAGACCAAGTTGAAATTAAAACCAAATTGCCAAGCTCCTTTCGATTCTCTGCAGACTCCATCGATAGCATATTGACGACAATTTTCTAATAGTGAGCCATTCACATAGATTTTATGTATACTCGATGGATCAAAGGAGGTACCCAACCAATTAGCCTTTGTAGTTTTAACGCCAATATGTCATGTATCTTAACCAAATTATTGTTCTAAACCAAGTATGTCTTGTTTCTCAAAAGGGCTAATTTGCTGCAATTTTGCAGTTCAAGGACTTATTTACTTGTTTTTTTAGTTGAGGGGCTTATATGTTAAAATGGGATAAGTTTGAGAGCTTATGAAATAGTTTTGGCGTTTACAATTACCCGTTTTTTTTTTTTTTGGGTAATTGCCTTTACAATTCTAGTCTCCGAGTTCTAGATGAAGACAACGTCACTTTGAAAAATCGCACCCCAATGTACGTGCGTAATCATTGAGCGTTTCTTTCTCCTACGGCACAGCTTTATCCTTTGACGGGGGTGAGGTCGTTTTTAAATACTATATGTTTTTTTTTTTTTATCAGTAAAAAAAAATTTATTAAATGAAATATAAAGGATCCTCTTACCCACTTACAAAATTAAAAGAGAAATTAAACCAACAAACTCCCTACAAACAAATAGCTAACACACCATATAATATAAGACCTAAAGAACACCCAATAAGAAGATAACAAATTATGCCATTAGAAACCCCTTGCAGCAATGCCTGCGAGAAGTCACGTTACCCATCCCCAGCGAATCTTTCAATAGCACAAACGCAGCACACTGAAATTGAGCTCTATCCTCATAATTCCCCCTGGTTCAACACTTGATACAACCTCTTATATTTCCTTAGATTCCTGCCATGTTGAACCATGGTCCTCTTGCACTCCGACAGTCATAAAATCTAATCTGTATAGGAAAAACTGCAGCCTTGTTCCTTGCTTTTCAGCCAAAAAAAAAAGATTTAGACTGAATAGAATCCAATATTCGCTCTTCGAACCTTTCACTTGCCCCAAACACTATCAAATTTCTCCAAAACCAAACATACCAAGCAGTAACCCAAAAAAATAAAAGGCCCTAACTCCGTTCAACTCCCCCCATTGATTCCAGCCACCACAACATCCGCCAATCCGAAGACATTGTTTGGCAAAGCACTCTGTACATCCCACCAACCCAAAACCTTCATCCAAACCAACCAAACTGCTTTACAATCACAAAAAATATGCTGGAGTTGCTCAATACCATCATGGCAAAGCCCACAACAAACATTCTCCCCTGGTACAACAACCCTTCTCTGACACAAGTTATCCTTTATAGCTAACCTATTCAAAAATAATCTCCACCCAAAAATACTCAATTTGAAAGGAACATGACTACCCCAAATAACCTTAGACCATTTCTCATCCAAAATAAAATATTTCGGTGATAAAAAGTCATAAGCTTTCTTCATCGAATATACACCATCAGCACTATGTATCCATCTCCAAGAATCTACCTCTCCACTATGCAACCTGACCCAATTAAATAACTCCCTATTAAATACTATATGTTTGACTGCATTACAAAAGCTAGCAAAAATAAAAATAGTATATAATGTTTGGTGACTAAATAATTACTTTTTTTTTTATATTTTATTTGTATAAATCTTTATATATTAATTTAGATAAAATAATAATTTCATGACATTATATGAAATACTACTCGTGTACTTATTTCACGATTGAATTACCTTAATTTTTTTTAAATGTATGATTAAGACGTTTATAGATTAATTTTTATGTGTTTTAAAATTAATCTCTTATTAATAATTTTAAAAGTACATCCTAACTTTAGTTTAATATATTTTCAAAAATTAAGTTTTTTAAACATTGATCTTAAATTTTAAACTATAAATTTATTTTGCAACTCCAATTACCGACCATTAAATTAATTTAAAATAAAAATATTAAAATTTAAAGTCATATTTATGAACTAAAAATTTATATTAAAATAAAAAATAAAATTAAAAAAAAATAAAATTTAATTTGAACGAAATTATGAAATTTCAGTAATTAACAAAATTAGTGACCGACAAGAGGGCGAGAGAGCAGGGACAGAGTCAACACTGAATAGAAGTCATGATGCAGGCTTCATAACCGTCGACCTATGGGGAGAATGCAGCAGCAATTTTAAGTTCATTTTGAAATTGAAATTTATGAGTTTTAAGTTGAATTTGAAATATATAGTTTTATGTTTTTTAAAATATTTATAGTGAAATACATGTATTTTATTTAAATTTAAATATAATTTATTTATATCAAAACAAACAGTAATATTAAATTTAAAAAGCTCAAATTCAAATATGCCTTACTAAAATCATGTTTCTAGATAGACCATTAGAGTATTTCTTTTTTGCAAGATTTTATGGAGCTTTTATTAATTTAATATATTTATAATGTTATTATTAACCATATGTTCAATTAAAAAAGGAAAGAGCGGGGCCTTTGCCGTTGGTTTTATCTAACATTTAAAGTGATTGCAAGAATGAACCCATGCTTGTCAAGTTAGCATGAAGTCAATGGGATAAAATGGAAGAGATGGAATGTTGATGGGGTGGGAATGGAAGAGACGGAACCATAACGTATGTTAATATGTGATTAGTTAAGTTTGAGTTAATTTATTTCACCTTAAATATAAAATTGCTAATGTCATTCAATCTCAAAGTTAGAGGTGTGATTTAATTATTTCATTAAAAAATTATTGTTTTAAACCAAGCATGTCCTGTTTCTCAAAAGGGCTAATTTGCTGCAATTTTGCAGTTCAAGGACTTATTTACTAGTTTTTTTAGTTGAGGGGCTTATATGTTAAAATGGGATAAGTTTGAGAGCTTATG